ACTATAAGCCCGAAGCTTAGTGAGTTCCCCCAAAATACCAATGCCATGCAATCATAATCATATCATAGTAAATAAACAACATGCATATAGAGTCTATAGAAAGACTGGATTACCCTCACTAGGCCTGCAGTCTATCTGGCCCACTCTCAGAACCTTTAGCATGTCTGGTCCGCCCACCCGGGCCTTTAGCCTGTCTGGACCGTTCTCCGGGCCTTCGGCCTGACTGATGTGCCCTACCAGACCTGTAGTTTATCCGGGCCGCCCTGGGTATGTTGGCCTACATCACAAAGCACGTCCGCCTCAACCCACCCCCAAACACAATCATCACATAGATAACAATGCTAGCATATACAACAATCAAACCGATCTAACAGATCATTAATCATAGCACCATCCTATATACCAGGATACCGGCCTAACATGTCACTAACATAGCATCATCCTATATACCAGGATACCGACCTAACAGGTCACTAAGCATATCATCATGCAATAAACCCAGATACAAATCCGAAAAGGGTCGGCATTGGTGCCTTCGACCCTATTAGTATAGTGAGGACAACTCACCTCACAATGTCGATCGGAAATGAAATATCAAACTCCCGAAACACGGTTCCAAACACCAACACCTACAACCACCAATGATCCACTTCCATAAATACCCAAATTACCAAAATATCCCCAGAAGTCAAACTGGTCAACCCTTGGTCAAAGTCAAATTCAGTGGTCAAGGTCAACAGTCCATGTTGACCCAACTCGTCGAGTACAGCCACTGAATCGTCGAGTTCCTTCAGAACTCAAGAATCGTGAAAACCCTAGTTGACTCGCCGAGTTTCCAGACAACTCGTCGAGTCCATGCAGTGTCCAAAATGTTGGGAAAACCCTAACCAACTCGTCGAGTCATCTCACTGACTCACCGACTCCATGCAGAACCAAAAACAGGCCATCTTCATCTGACTAGTCGAGTTGACCATGCAACTCGTCCAGTCACTTTAGTCATTTTCTTATTCAGACGCTCTTAAGCAAAACCAAGGCTCCAAATTGTAGATCTAGCCTCCTAGCGCATGGTTACCACGTAAAGTTGCAAACTTTACGTGCATGCAAGGCCTTAAATGCCAAAACCAAGCTAAAGAAGAGGTTTAAGCCAAAGAGAAGGGCCAAATCTTGATAAATTCGATAACTTTATGACTATGAGGACTTAGAGGAGTCCAGATCTGAAGTTACAACTTCAGATCATGCACAACTTCAGATCATGCCCAATACCATAAATGACCCACAAATATGCTAAAAATGGCCTTAAACCCTTGAATAAGGAGATCTAACACTAGAATGATCAAGGTAACAACTTGTTACCTTCAAATGAAATCCAAGACGGAGTAGGTACTGGATCTACAAGCTTCTCCTTGATCCAAGCTCTTGAGTCTTCAAGTTTCTTCCACTAAAACCAACTTCTAAGCTTTTACACACACAAAATGAGGAGTAATACATGATTAGGGTTTTCTGAGGTTGAGGGGGACGATAAGAAAGGCAGAGGGTGGCTAACGAGCCTTTAAATAGGGTGCAAAACCCTGGAATTTAGGGTTTCACATTCCAGCTCCAACTCGTCGAGTAGATTCTAGAATCCATGCGGCTTTAACCTTCTCTACACGACGAGTTGGGGCATCCAACCAGTCGAGTAGGTCTAAAAACATAAATATAAAACTTTAAAATTTATACCTGGGAGTCGGGGTGTTACATTGGGAGTGAAAGAGGCTGAGGATGGGCGACCCTAGCCTTCTCATTCCGTTTTATACTCGATTTTGAGGGTTTGAAACCATCAGGCCTGACTCACGTCGTGAGATCTTATGCCTCACGTCGTGAGGTTCGAGAACACGGGTCAAACGGTCAATGGTCCTACTCACGACGTGACCACTATGGCTCACGTTGTGAGCCTCTTCTAAATGTAAAAATTAATATTTTTAATACCGCATGATTCGGATGCTACATTATGCTTTTGCAATAACAAGACCAAACCATACATGCTTCCTTTTCTGATTAATCCAATACAAGCTTCATTGATGAGACCAAACTACATACGCCCACCTAAGACTCTACATGTTCGTTTATCCTTTTCCCAAACAAAAAAAAGTTGTAATGGTTGCCCATTATTATCCATTTTGATTTGATTATTTCATTCTTTGTTACAATCAAATCAATGTTTTTTAAGTCTTTGTCTCTGAAATTGTTAATGTCTTGGTTTTGTAATAACTTTGAATCAGGGGCGGAGCTTCAACCTTTGATTTGGGGGGGTCGGAAATATAATATGTATAAAAATCGGTGAAAATGGGGGGCCACAACCAAAATTTTTATTTTTTTGGGCCTAATATGTATAAAATTAAAGTAGAGGGGCTATTTCGAACCAAAAAATCAATTTTAACTAATTCAACAATGGCAGTCTTTCCAAAATCTTAACCTCACTCTAAATGACCAGCTCATCTCCATCAGATTTTGATCTCAATTTTACTTCACTATACACATATCAGATACATACAAACAATTAAACAAGTATGAATACACCAAATCTTCAAAAATCTACACCTTCTGAAAAGCTACAAGTACAAGCTATGCAACATAAATACCAGTTAAACAAAATACTCTAAAACTTAAAGCTTCATCGGCCGATGCAAATTATTTAAACAAACAAATCAACTATACATAAAGCTTCATACTTGATTTATAATACCTTTGAGAATCGCGTGTACAAATTGGTCCTTTAAGGGTTTTCATTTGTAAAAATAATCTAAGGTTTTCATCTTTACCATGATTGTGTCTATAAAATAAAAAGGAACAATGGATTCAACAATGTGTAAAAACAATAACAAATAACAAAAATCTGCAATTACAGAATAACTCATTTAACAGTACCTAAAAACTGAACATTGAAATCAGAAGTGAAAACAATACCTAACATAAAATCTGTAACAAATTACAATTTACAAGCTAGTAATCAACATTGAATTGATTCCCAAATCACAAAAAGTCAACAAGTGAACAAACACAGGAGCAATTTTTTTTAAAGTTAAAGAAGATAGTTTAATACATATCGATGGAAGGCAAATGAGCAAATTCGGCAGTCCTAATTCCTTACATACACTCCTAGTTTCTAATCCCAATTCCCAAATCAGAAATCGCAACAGGAGAACCGGAGAAGAAAGAAGTCACGAACGACCCTAAAACACACTCTTAATTCCTAATCCCGGATTCCCAAATCAGAAATCACAAGAGGAGAACTGGAGAAGAAAGAACAAATACCTGATTTCCGGTGAGTATTGGCTGCTGCGGTGGATCAATGAATGGCGATTGGCGAGACCGGAGAGTCGGAGACAACGAGTCGCGATACAGCAAGCATCTAGACTCCAGCGAGGCACCAGCGACGATGGTCGATGGGGACGGTCGGACCACGGACAGAACTCAGGAACTGGGTCGATTTCACTTCTTGTGGCTTCAGTCTTTTGTTTGGAAATTGGACTATGGAGAAATCAGGAGGGGCCACAGCCTAATTGTGAAATTAACAGTCCTATAATAAAAATTTTGGAGTAATTTTTACTAGTTCTAACCCAAATATCAGGGGGGCCACAGCCCCTCATGGCCCTACTAATACTCCGCCCCTGCTTTGAATGGTCTCTTGTTGTTTAAAAATCGCACAACCATAAAAAAAGACCACAACATTTCATTATGAGGTTTAAAACTAAAATCATACTGTTAGAAAAACCACAAAAAGCGCACCACTTAAAAGTCGCACATCACGTTTTACGATTACAAAAATCAACACGTGTAGTTTGCGGTGCGATCTTGTCCCAAAATCGTATCATTCTCATCCCTATTAGGGACCTAAGACCATCCCCATTGGCGATCTCTTGGGATTGGCTCACCAAAAAAGAATTAAAAAAAAGAAAAATGAAACATATTTGGTGATCTAGGCTACCACAACAAGTCGTTCACCAAAAAGGCTTCTGTCTTTTTATTACTTTATGTAGCCAAATGTCTCTTTTAGATAGATGGACTTAAATTATTATTTTTTAATTAAATCTAATTTAGTTAATAACTACATTTTATATTTGGTAAGAAATCAAATAACATATACTGAAATATGTAATTTATTTTTCTCTACAAAACAAGATCAATATTAATATAAATTTTTTTTAATAAATTTTTTAATATAAAATTGAATTGGATCAGATTTGATTGCTTATGTATGAATAATTAGATTGGATTGAGTTGTATAGGTGAAAGAAAGATAAATTATTTTTTTTTATAAAAAATTAATTTGGGTTGTTAATAGGGATAGTCTAAACCACAATTAAACCCTCTCACCATAACTATATTTTTAGTTTTAAGTTTTTGTACTTTGTTTAATGTATATTTGACGAACTATTTAAAAAATTAGTTAATAGTTGATAAAAATAAAATCTATAGCACTCGCTGATAAATGATTTAAAATATATAAAATAATATATAAAAGATTTAGTTATATTTATCATTAATAATAATATATTTAAAAAATAAAAAATTAAATAAGTTTGTTGAAATGTAAATCTAATAATTTTAAAAAATTATTTAATTTTTTTGTTCATTTGTTGATAATTAAAAAAAATCAAAAAATAAACTAAATTATAAATTAGTTATATACTTAAAATATAATTTTTTTCTAAAGAATAGGATATATTTTTTGTTTTTTCAAATATATTTGATAAAAATTCTCCGAAATCATTGGGGACAACCTTGGAAACAACGAGGTGGAAAAGTGAAAGAATCCAAAGTCCAGAGAAGTACTAAATCCAAACCACAATTGCATTTGCAGCATGTACATCATCCATTAAGAATTGTATCTCTAACTGTCGTTTATCAATCTAGGCGCTGGAAAAAGGACCGAAAGAAAGCCGTTTTCGATTTTCTTTTCTCCCCTTCTCTGACTGCCGTTTCTTGTTTGTGATAAACCGTCCCTTTGCCAGCTCGCCATTCGACTTTTTCTCCTCCTTCGCTGTCATCATCATCATGCCACAAGAAGTTTACTGTGTGTATTTATTTGATTTGGTGAAAATCCATTTTCATCGTCGTTTAAATGAAGAATCTTGTTCTTCGATTACCCCATGAAAGTAAAAGAACTTCAAGTTCGAAAACCCTTTAAATTTCTTCGTCATAACCCCACGAAAATGACATTTTGTGGGTAGTTTATACAACGAATTGTTCCACCCACCACTACCCCTTTTCACCTCAACTTCTAGGGTGCTGTAATCTTCCCAATTTCGTAAATCTCGAAAGAATTTCTCCATTTCTGTACAGAGTTTTGTTCAGTTCCAATTATTTTGTGAAAAAATCGTTCCTTTCTTCTATTTCTTTTCGGTTCCGACCCTTATGCTTGAACCCAATTCGATTTAAGAAGAAAAGAAAGAAAGAGAGCATAAGGGTCTTGTCCATGGCGTCGATTCCTGCAGGTCCGAGCTCGGGATCGAGTTCGAGTTCTGGGTTTCAGTCCCCTTTCGGGGATACGACTTTCACCAAAGTGTTCGTTGGTGGGCTTGCTTGGGAGACTCAGAGTGAAACCATGCGTCAATACTTCGAGCAATTTGGAGAGATTCTTGAAGCTGTTGTGATCACTGATAAAAACACCGGCCGATCCAAGGGTTATGGTTTCGTGAGTGTCATCTTTATCTATAATCATTTATACATATTCACTTCGTTTTAATTTATGATATTATAGTGAAGTGACTTGTTTTGGATGATGGTGTTTTCATGGAGGGTTTAGGTGACTTTCCGTGATCCTGAATCTGCTTCAAAAGCATGTGTAGATCCAGCTCCGGTCATTGATGGTAGACGGGCGAATTGTAATTTAGCTTCACTTGGACGCCCTCGTCCTGCACTTTCTTTTGGTATTATTTTTTTTATTTTTTCAAAAAATTGAATTTTGTTACATGAATCATGGCTGTAATTGATTTTATTTATGTTCAGGACGTATGTCATCAACAATATCTTATGCAGGAGGTGTGCAAACTGCTCGTGTGCCTTCTATAGGAAGCTATGGCTACCAACAACAACCACCACTTTTTTATGGCTACAGACAAGGATTAATGTATCCCTCATACCCGTAAGTTACATTTTTGAATTTGACATGCTAACATTCTCATTGAATTGGTAATTTGTTATGAAATCATTGAAAATATTGAAAAGGGTAGATGAATTATAGCAATGTCAAAATATGATGCCTTAATAAGAAAAAAAAACTGTAATACACAAATAAATGTAAGTACATTGCTATTTCTTGCAATTAGGGTTTAAGGAGATAATGTTTGTTCTTTTTGGTGCAGGTATGGAACGTATAGTCCAGAATATGTCTATCCACAGGTCAATACTCAATAGTCTCCCAAAGCTCCCGAAAAAAAGGAAATATATTCAAATTTAACAAGTTATTTACTGATTAATAGGGCGTATACAATCCGTATTCAAGTCAGCAATATCTTCAAGTATACGGAGCAGTTAACCCGCCCAATATGTATCCATACAATCAAATGGGTCAAATAGCTCCAAGTGGTCATGGTTACACGGCCTATCCAGGCTATAATACATTGCCAGGTCATCAAATTGTGCAATTTGGTGGGCCAAATGTAAATGCAGCTACTACTACTTCATCCATTCGGTCAATTCAAGCAGCATATCCAACAGGCAGTGTGTTTCTTTCAAAAGATTCTTTTTAAAAAAAAAAAAAAAATATGAGTTATTATGATCTGTGTAAAAAAAGAAAGAACTTTTGGTGTTATCAGGTGTTGTAGCACCTGTTCAAGGACAACAATTTGTAATCCCTGCTCCATCATCCCAGATCATGCAAGGTGGTGGTGCTTCTGACCAAAATTCAGGATGAAGGTCTGATTAAAAGGCAAGTAATATTACTGTTTGGATAAATGATGTTTAAATATTAAATGACAAAATAATTGTATACTTGCGAAATAAAAGGAAAAAAATAAATTCGGGAAAACTGTAAAAAGTTAGGACTTTATGGGGAAAGCCTCATTTCCCTGACTTTCTCTATTAATCATGTCAAAAATAAACACTCACAGATAGCTTATGAGATTAAGGGATAAAGTGTCTGAAAGGGTAATAATGTCTGTTTGGATAAGGCACTGTATGCATGAGGTCGGTTATGAGAATTGAGACTAAATGACCATTTTACCCTTACATTCCAAAAAACAAATTTCACAATATTCATCAATTCTAACAATATGCAATAATTTTTACGTGAGAGAATCTGGGAGGAAAAAAGAGGAAGGACTAATAGGTAAAGAGTTAGTGTCCTAATACATTAAATCAGGTTTTTTGACTTAACCCATTAAGTCAATTTGTCCAGATTAAGTAAAAAAGAAACAACTCCTAAGTTTTGTGCCCGGATTAAGTCAAAATGAAACAAGTCAACATCAATATATAGCTGTCCAGATTAAGTGCTTAAACCATTAAGTAAAAAAGAAACAGGTATCCACTTGTAATGTTTCCTTGATAATTTTTTGCAGGTATCCTTAGATTGCAGCAGGACTAAGAACGGTAGTACTGCTACTTGAGTGGCGGGCTTCAAATCTAGCCTTGCAAATTATTCGTTTTGCATTCTAGAGGTACACTACACACTTGGTTTCATATTCATTAAAAAATGCAATTTTTTTTTTTTTTTTCCTTTGTGTTTTATGTGCCCTTGAATTTGCAGCAGAACCCTAAAAAAAGGTTCTTTGATCATATAGAAGTATACCTATAGGAGTCTTTTGTTTTCCTTGAAGTTCTTTAAACAAGAGAAAGAGAACACATGAGTTTGCTTTATGAAAGACTTGATTCTGTTTGCCTTTTGGTAGTCTCAGATAAAGATAATTACCTGTATTAAGTTATTAGCTTTTGGATAAAGATCTAGCCAATGATACATGTGTTCCCCTTAATATGAACAGTGGGGACGAGTTTATTTACATTTTGGCCCTCATAATTGAACAGAGCTCATGAGTTTGCTTTATGAAAAGAAGAATTTGTAAGGGCCCGTGAAGCCTGTAAAGCCTTTCATGATGTGCCATGTTCTAATGTTCTTTTTCTTCAAATACTCCATTAAAAGACATGAGTTTTTTAAATTTTAACAAATTTGAAAAACTGGGCAACAAGAGAAAGATCCTTTAGGGGATGTTTCTTTTTGACATAAATGGGCTTAATAACTTAATCTGGACAATTATATATTGTTGTTTCTTTTTCACTTGATCTGGACAGAATGACTTAATAGGTTAAGTCAGAAAACCTGGCTGAATGTATTAAAACACCAAGAATAAAATGGAATGGAAGAACAAAATGGTCATGTAGTCTCATTCAGATCATTTATTCAGTCTTGAAAGGAATTAAAGAAACAGATCTTATGTATACAACACTTTATCTGGATATTCTGCCATTTTACCCATACAGAACTTGATGAGGAACAAGAAACAGTATTTATTTGACTTTGGTTTCAGCCTCTAGAAACAATGCAACAGATAGACAACAAGATCTTTTATAACAGAGATTCGATTTTTTTATGACCTTTACAGTAGTGTCACAGGTGGGGCAATTTTTTCATGAGTGGGCTTTGTTGAATATGATATTTTGTAGTGGTGGTGGTGGTTGGGTAGGGTAGGGGTAGGGCTGATTTGGGGGGGGGGGGGGGGGGGGGAGGGGAGGGGACTACTTGTTTGCATTTTCTAATGTTCTTGTGGTTCTTAGCCTTCACACATGGGGATGGGGCCCCGACTTCCACAAATAAAAACCAACCTTTTTGTTCTAAAGAACGAAAAAAGAATCAAACATAATATAGAAAGTTTTAAGATAAAGCTTAATCTTGTACATTTTTGGATTAAAGGTAGTATCTTTATGAATCTTTAAACATATATGCTGGATAATACTGCATTTTCTTGGTACTAAAAGCAGATTTGGTTGATATTTTGTAGGTCATTTTTACCAGAGAAATCATGGTCAAGGAAATCCCATGAAGATGCGAATTGTGTCTTCCTTCCAAAATCCAAATGTGTCCCATTTGGTCCTCTTTCACTCTACCAGTGTCACAAGGGTCAAAGAAATTGCCACCCGATGCTGGAATAGGTTTCCAGCATGCATTGGAATCAGCTACACCATTCTTGTTAGGTTAACAAGGCCTATCATTGTGTAAACACATTGGCTAAAGTCTATGGTGTTATGTGTTGGTGTCGTTTTTGTTATTGTTCATTGTTCTTGATCCTGGTTTTCAATGGGTGAAAGTCCAGAGATCTTGTAGTCTTAGAAAAAAAAATGGAAGTGTCATTGTTTGTGTGTGGCTGCAACTCTTCTTGAACAAAGTCTTTCTTTTGGGAAATTGTAGGTGTTGTTTGTTCTTTTACCTTTGTGACCAAATGGGGTGTTTGGATGTCCTTTTTCATTGTAGTTTTAAGTAGATGATAAATAAATGGCATGAAGTATGCTTTTATAATGACGTCATCATGAAAGCATAACTCTTCATGTATGGATACAAATGTATATATTGGACAGGGGTGATCATTTGGACCCGTGGACCGGACCGAACCGTTTTTCTGGACTCCCGGGCCGGTTTTTGGTTCTAGGATTTGAGAAAACCAGTCCATTTTTTTTACCAGTCCTGTCCGGCCGGTTCAGGGTAAAAACCGGTTTTGAACCGGCTTATTTTAAAAAAAATTGTATTTTATGAAATTCTTTAAAAAACATATTTCATTTGTTTTAAGTCGGATTGACATGCGAGTTTTTCCAACGTGTAATTTAGAGTTCGTAGATGATTTTAGACTATAATTTTGTTGTTTTTGGTGTTATATTTGATGAGATACAATCATTCAAAGATGAGATATCAAAACTGAAATATTTCAATTTTTCAACAAGAAATTTAAACTTTTGTATTCTGTGAAAATTTTTAAATAAGCACATGTCGTTCGTCTTAAATCAGATTGACATACGGTTTTTTCTAACATGTAATTTAGAGTTTGTAGATGATTTTAGACTATAATTTTGTTGTTTTTGGTGTTATATTTGATGAGTTACAAACCTTCAAAGATGAGATATCAAAGTTGAAATATTTCAGCATTTCAACAAGAATTTTATACTTTTGTATTATGTGAAATTAGTTAAACAAGCATATCTCATTCGTTTTAAGTCGGATTGACATGCCGTTTCTTCCAACGTGTAATTTAGAGTTTGTAGATGATTTTAAACTATAATTTTGTTGTTTTTGGTGTAATATTCGATGAGTTACAATCCTTCAAAGATAATATATCAAAACTGAAATATTTCAGCTTTTCAGCAAGAAATTTAAACTTTTGTATTCTGTGAAATTCTTTAAACAATCATATCTCATTCGTTTTTCTATCAGATTGACATGAGTTTTTTTTTCTAACATGTAATTTAGAGTTTGAAGATGTTTTACTATAATTTTGTTGTTTTTGGTGTTATATTCGATGAGTTACAATCCTTCAAAGATGAGATATCAAAAGTTGAAATATATCAACTTTTCAACAAGAAATTTAAACCTTTTGTATTATGCAAAATTCTTTAAACAAACATATATACTATTTGTTTTAAGTCGAATTGACATGAGATTTTTTCCAACGTGTAATTTAGAGTTTGTAGATGAATTTAGACTATAATTTTATTGTTTTTAGTGTTATATTAAATGATTTATAATCCTTCAAAGAAATGGTATATGTGACATCCCCAATTTCACGGTCAGAAAAGACCGATTTAATTTATGCTTTTAAAGTAAAATCAGAGTAATCCTTTGATTAAAAGAGTTGCAGAATTTGTTCCCAAAACAAAATATGATAAAACAAAATTTATCAAAGCATTTCTTAAAGAAATGTATTTTCATTATATAACAAAATCTCGGGATGTCATGTTCCGATACAGACCAAAAACATAAACAATACAAAATAGACCTTACAACAGTTATATTTAACTATGGTCTATAATCCAAAATATATTGACAAGTCATCCAACTTATGCTCTCGTGCCACTACCTGTAATACAAAGAAAAACTAAGTGGGTCAGGCTTGGGAGCCTGGTGAGCATATAGGGTTTTCAACCCACAATAAATGATTATATTAATTTCATCAACCAATAATAACCCAATTACCCATTCCCGTTATTCTCACTTTACGTCCCTAAAACAATTGACCCAAGGGACCTAGCCTAAGGATTTTCATCGGGGCGACAACACTGCTTTGGGGGTTTCCCAACAATTTATGTCAAATAAGGCAACCATGGGGGGATGGAGTACAGCAAATGAACACCCAAGTTCATTAACACTTACAGGTTATGAGCCTGCTAGCGTTCCACTGGACTGTCTAGAAAAGTCCGTGGTCGTCATCTAAACTTCGCTAGATGACTGAATCAGCAACAACAACAAGGCCTCTCATAATTTTATTTCATCACACACCAACTGTCTACCCATGTTCTACCCAACATATTAGTAGATAAAAATATATACATTTATATACAGCTTAAACCTATGCAAATAATTCATTCAACAATTATTTCAAATAAACAAATAATATATAAACACATAGCACGTATTTTATAAAGAATACTTCATATCTATGTGTTAGAAGAAAGTGACTACACACTCACTTGATGAGAAGATGATCGGACAGCACTACGACTCTAAGAGTAGTATTATTCGGTGAAACCGGGATGCTTTCTTGAAAACCGGGCTTCTCGCGGGCAGAGTTTCGGCTCGGAAACTTTACTTCTCGGGATCCTCGGGGCTTGCTTCGGGTGTCGAGAATGATACCGGGGCTTCGGGGTATAAGTTGCACGCAAAACAAGGCAATAACGAGTGAGAGAGAAGAATTTGAGCACTAAAACTCGGCAGCCCACGACATCTATTTATAGGGGCTGATCCCTGCAATTACGTTGGGCGTAACTTCAGAGTACGGTGGGCGTACTCCCTCTACAAGCAGTACGCTGGGCGTACTCTTCGGATAAGCTTTGGTATGCGTGCCTCGAACTTCAAAAATTCATAACTTTCGCATACGAGCTCCGTTTTCGACGTTCTTTATATCCACGCGTAGGTGAGACTATGCTCTACAACTTTCATTTAGACTCCGTCGGCTAATTTTGACTTTATTTTTATTATATTATTTTTAGTAAGCCGGGACAGGAAAACTCTGTTATAAAATCCTAACTTCTTCATCCGACGTCCGTTTTCGTCTGTCTTTTTACCGTTGGACTACTAACGATGAGATCTTCGATTCTCGTTTAGATTGTTTTGGCCAAATATCACTCGATCTCAATTTCGAGATTTGGGCTGTATACCGCTAAGTCGAAACTTAGAAAAATCATAACTTCCTCATACGAAGTCAGGTTTGGACGTTCTTTTTATGCACGCTCTCGGTTTAACGTATTCCACGACTTTTGTTTAGATCACTAAGGCTAGATATCGCTCTATCTTAAATTCGTATTTTACGTCATATAGTGTAGTGCCGGTTCTGTCGCGAAACTTCGACAGGTCATAACTCCTTCGTTATAACTCGGATTTCCGTACTCTTTATATCTCCGAAATCCTTGTTTCGACCACTACAACTTTATCCTTAGATATCGGCTTTATTTAATATTTATTTATGACGCTCATTTTTATTCTTAATTCATTTAAGCCACAAAATTAAGCATAAAACACATAATACTCAAATAATACATTTATATTATTTCAAAATGAGTTACAAAGGTTAACCTAGACTATTACATCAATAATAATTCCTAGCCTAGAAACACGGGCGTTACAGTATAAAGTATAAATAATCAAAGTTTGACCGGTCCAAAGGGCACAAGAAACGAAAACATATTCATTTTTACGAGTTGTACTGTATCAAACCCAAAAAATTATTCATTTTAACGAATTGTAACTTATCAAACCAAAAAAAATATTTGTTTTAACGAGTTGTATCAAACCCAAAAACGCGTTTTAACAAGTTGTACCGTATACATGTAAAGTAGTACCGGTCCAAACGGGTCCAAGAATTGGAAAACTCAAACCTGGACCCGGTAAGTCTCATCCGGTCCGATCCACGGTCCACATTATTATCCGAAACCGGTCTGATCCAAGTGTTGGGTTTTGATACGAAACATAAGTTTGTTTTTCACAAAAACCGGCAACGGAAGACTTTAAAAATAACAAATTTATTTTTAGTTCATAACAAAACCAAACCATCATGGATCCATTTATAGAGGTTAGAATGAAATAAAACCAACCACAAGATGTTTTAGAGATAACCTTTGAAGCCTTTGAACCCACTTGGTTTTGGGGTGTTGATGAAGATATCAAAAACCAAAGAATATGATTTCTCTATAAGTATCCACCATCAAGAGTAAGGCACTTGGAATGCTAATTCCTTCTTGCATTCTTGAGTGTCTAAAGCCTTTAAGTGCTTACCTCAAATAAGCACTAAAGGATACAACTCAAGAGAGCTTCTAAACCACCAAACTAACTTCAAAAGAGAGAGAGGAAGAAGAGAAGAAGAACCCACGGTTTTAGAGAGAAAAAGAGAGGAAGAAGAAGTGCTTCACTTATCAAAAATGCAAGCCTCATGCATCTCTTATATAGTCCATGCAAAGTAAGGCCTAACCATTAAAATAATCTAAAGTAATGGTAGCCTTTAGAAGCATGGGAGACAAAGGGAGAAAGGTTGACAAGCAACCTCCCACACCATCATCAACTTTCGACCATGCTTAATAAATAAGAAAGATTTTTTGATTTTTATAAACTCTAAGTTTATAAAATATAAACTTTATCTTTAGGTAAAAGACAAAAGAATCCAACTAGTCCAAAATGTTGTGCATGACTTATTAATTCATACCATATGAAATAATAACTAGTAATACTTTTAATTATTATTTTCATAAAACAATAATTATTCCCTAATTAAATACAAGAATTGATATTATTTATTAATAATCATATTAATAATAAATATACAAAATGTGCCAACTTGATAAAGGTGTGACCCTATGGGATCATATATTATTAGCAATATCACTCCATAATGATTCTTAGGCATATAGATCCAACAATCTCCCACTTTCACAAGATTCATTATAGATTGACATAGACAGTAGATGACATCTAGCAACGGGCTACTGCTCCTAACAACATATGAAGGGTGCTGTCTCATCAACAGCCAATTCCAGGAGCTCTAAGCTACAATTGTTACTAAAGGTGTGGTATCAATTATTCTTTTGTCTCAGACATCATGTTGAACATGAGATATGGATCACGATCAATCTCATTTAGTGTTCAACTTTTAGTAAGGCCTTAGATCTCTAACTCTCAACGAATAAGAGGGACAAATCCCATCTCGACTACATACGCCCATCAATGTAGTTCATGTCATACCGAACGAT